GCATTTTTCAATATGGGATAAGCAATCATTAAATTGTACGAAGATAGTCGAATATAATAAAAAATACTTTACTAAAGTTATTGAGCACTTATTAGTAAAATAATAATACAACATTCATTTCATAAAAATATATTTTAATCATTGCTGCATAGTTAACATAAATATATAAATCTAATAAAACACATAAAATTTTGAAATTGAACAAAACTTGTTGCTTAATTTAATAATGAAAAAAAGAAATTTTGCTGGATTGTGAAGGAGAAAATATAAAACATAGTAAATCCTATGATATTTAACTTACTTTTTCCCTATTGTGCAATAAGATATATGTATCTGAATTTAAATTCAAAAATGTATTTATATTTTAAAAATCAATAACTAACGAATACTAGTGGGGCACATCATGCCTTAAAGCAAATTGTTGGAACTTCCCGTACCGTAATTAAACATTCGAAGAATAAAAATAATCAGTCAATAAAAATGTGTATAAATAAAAACCTATTATAAAAACTAGGATTTTCATTATTTGTTCCTTGTAGACAAAATGTGAAAACTTATTAGATTATACGACGTTGCTTATATATGTTTGAATGAAATATATATAAATAAAATCTAATTAAGCGGACTTATTGTTGGAATTAACATATTTTATTTCAAATGCATATTTTATTCCTGAAGCGAACGAAAATTGCGCCAACCAACTGAGCTATAACGACATGCTCTATCTAAATGTCTAGGATCTAAACGGAATTTCTGCTCTGTATCTTCGAAATGGCTGGAACTGCTTATACCAAAAACGAATTACTACATCACCACATCAATACGAATCGAATGTTTTTTGAATCATTCAAATCGGCCGATTTGTTCTCAGATCCTAACATTTTTTGCACTCTTTGCTCCGTATCTTCGAAACGGCTAGACCTGTCTTTGCCAAAAACTAATTAGCACGTCTCCTTATCAATAGGAACCGAATGTTTATTAATTTATTCAAATCGGTTGATCGGTGTTCTCGAAATCTTCGACGAAAATTTGTATCCGCACATACACACGCAGATACATCAATTTTTTCTGAGGCATGCCAAGATATTTAGAAACCTTTAAAACGTAAAGATATATAAAAAATTTCATTTTCGATTTTTTTGCGACTACTAACTACTTTTAACTTACCCTGCGGGAAGTTAAAAATAGAATAATATTGGATAAATAGAAGATTATAAATATTTATACATTTGAGTCTTTCAATCGTAGTTGTTTAGTCTATTCGTAGTCTATTCAAATAATAAATTTTTAATAAACATATACATAAACACATACATATGAATATACATAACAAATATACATATACACATAAGTATACTTATGAATAAATTACACATAACATATAAATAAATTAAACTTCATTTGGATAATGGATATAAATTAGAATTTATATCAAGTAAGACTTAACTTCCATCTGCTATATAGTTTTCAAAAAAGAATTCAGCTGTTTTAAAATCATTGGACAAAAATTTTTGTGTATAAACATGACTTGCATTAAAGTACTTTTGTTTTCTAATAAATAATCCATTAATTCATGTTATTTTATTAGCTCTTACTTAAATTACATCACCGAGTACAAATTGATGATATTATCAGTTACGACCTTTTCCTAGAATTAAATTGAATACTCTGAACTGAATAAACTATTATATGAATTATTTAGTGTAGGGGGATAAGTTATAATGATACTGGATTTTGTTTTAAAAAAAAATATACTTTTTGGTATATCATTATAACTTTTTATTAACTTTCATGTCTGGTAACTATCAATTTCATAAATATTCTTTATATTCAATATTATAAAAACCACAAATTGCAGTGTTCGCATTTTAAAACGACACTTGTAAATTTTTCAGAATAATGATATAATGACATGTTCTACAATAAGGATTAATATTATTTTTTATTTTATTGGTTTGCTTGCCTTTTTATGAATTTGTAAAAATAATATGTAACTGTACAGAATCTCCATGTAACTTAATATTTTCATATCTTAAAATACTCAATATTAAATAAACCTATTCGGGTATTAGTTCTTATTCGTACTAATATTTACCTTACTTTAACTTGATATATCAATTAAGTTGTCATTTCATCTAAATAATGTTTTATAATTATCAGTTTGTTGTTAATTTATCTTAAATTATAAATAGTTCTATTTTTGCATCCTTATCTCTATATGTGAATTAAGTTACATCATATTGCATCATTTTTCCACTATAAAAATTCTTGGGATAGTATTTCTAATTTTAGAATAACAACATGACATCAATGGCGTGATAATAGCTTCAAATATTTGTCCAGTAAATTAGAAACAAATTAGTGGTTGATTAGGAAGATTTTCGTACATTTTTATTTAATTTTAAAATTTATTCACTCTCATTATTACAATGAGTCAATGAACTATCAGTTTTCGATTTTAAAGGAATAACTATCTGGTCTACATATGCTCATCTCCTTTTATATTTTGAATCATAAAATGATTTTTTTTTCAAATCATATTATAAATTCAAGCCAAATATTTATTTGTGACAATATTTTAAATTTGATGAAAGTTATTTTGGTACTTTTGAATATGTTAGTACCTACTATTGATGTTCTTAATAATAATAAATAGTAGTTTGTCCAAAGGCAGGTCCATGGTGTGGGAGCACCACAAATCAATGATTAGATTTTCTTTCTTTGTTTATTATGCCTATTTTATTACTATTAATACTTTTTATTTTTATACATTTTTTTTCACACTTTTTGGACTTGTGCTACCATACCTCTTGGTCTTGTTTTGATGTTTATAGCTAATTTTATGTTTATTTAAATTTTTGGTTATTTTTTTATTTATAATATTTTGCAATATTCAGAGAAAAATGAATGATGAAATCACGATGAAAAAGATCTTTTATAATCTTAATTAAAATTCCCACCTGATAGTCTTCAAAAAAGCTTGTCAAAGTCTGCTCTATAATAGTACCTTGCTACTAATTGTTTAGTAACTAGGTTAATCAATTAATTGCCATCAATTTAATTCGATGATCTGTAAAAAAGCATTTAAGTGCTTTCAAATTGATATATCTTTAAATAATTGCTCAATTATTCTGAATAACGGCATTAGTTTGAAAGAAGTGCATTGCGTGCCATCGGGCATTAAATATAATTTGTAACGATCTTTGTAGCTGTCTTGAGAATTTCATGTTGTTTGGAACTATTTCTATATTGATTCTATCTTGAGGTGAAAATCAATTAACCCATAAATATTAAGAGTCAGGTTTTTGCCTAATAACTTTAAATGAATTTTGCTATTAGTAGAAATCGAGCTTTTCAGCTATGTAATCGACTTTTGTGCAACTTCCTCTTCAAGTCTAAAGGTGAAATTCGAAGTTTAAAAATTAGAACTTTAACAAAGGTTCATCTGGAAATATTCATCGATCCAAGTTGTTTTGATAATAACAATAACTTATCATCGAAGACAGTTATTAAAGTTTAAAAGATTAATTGCTAATTTACTAAAATACAATTTGCTTAAAATAAACAGTCTTTATGTATTATACACCGTGTTATTAGATATATGCCCAAATATTGTTGTGGGCTTCCAAATTTTGTACTGGCTTTGTACTGTCTATATTCAATATCAAATACACTTTTTATCATTTTTTTTTTGTATTTTTATCATAAAATTATAATGTTGTTTTTACTGTGTGTACTTTTCAAATAGTACCTAGCATTTTTATATATTTTTTATAGTTGAATATTAGCACCTCTATGTCCCGATGCAGAAATGTTTATTATGAATGTTTATCATGAATAAATAAGTATGTATTGTAATAAATAATTATGTCATGATTTTATATTAACATTTCATTAAATTATTTATTGTTATATACTAAGAAAAATATCTCATGAATGCATTTTTAAGACAACAGAAATGAATGGCATGCATATTTATACTTAAACTTTCACTTTTATTGTTGTTTGTATTTATATATGTATATCTACTTTTTATTACTATATATGCAATAATATTTAAAAATGTTTCCAGATTTTTTTATAATTTTATATCCCAAATTAAGAGAAAAATTATTTTTTGCTTAAGAAATAACAGATCCAATATAATTTTTATGCTTGGTGATTGAAGTGTTTTTATTTATTTCATAATGTTTACGAGATGTGTATTTAATTTTTTTATTGCTTTTATATGTACTGTGTGTGACAAAATAACACCAAACATTTATATTAATTATTAACTACACATTTTTATACATTAATTAGCTTACTAATTACATATTTAATTTTGTAATTTTACTCGTTTTTATTATACTAATTAAGAAAACAATCATAGTGCAATTAATCTTTAATTATAATAATTAAACAATCATTAATACCATAGATAAAGAAATTAATACATTATTAAAATATTTATCAGTGATGTAATAATAATACTATATGGATTTAAAAATAATTCCAAATAATAGATTAATTTTAGCCAAATATTGATTATAATTTAAAATAAATCATAATTCTAGTATGAAGTAATAGGAGAAGCTTTTATTGTTTAATTACTGAAGAATGAAAAATTAGTTAAACCTACTTGATTTTGATTACAACATAAATAATACATTAATTATATGTTATTTATTTTTTAAAAATTAAATTATTTTTATAAATTTTATAAAATCATGATATGGAATTCATGTAGCTTATATTTTATTTTCTGATACTAATTTATTATATATTAAATTTTATGAATATACATTTGATTTTAAGATATAATATTATATTCACTGTAAATACAAAATATTCAATATATATCATAGAAAAATCTAATTAATATTGGTATACACATATTTTTTTATACGAAACGACATAATTAATCATAAATCTTTTACAAAATCAAATATTGCTATTAAATATTATATTCCATAATACTATTAATATTATTAATTTTTAATATTTATTTATTACCTAAGGATGCGAAAGCCCAATGTTTCTGGCTCAGGGAGTGAGCTTTACAGTCCCAGATGAATCTGATCTTCCAAATGAAATTTCGGCACCTTATGAAGTACCCCAATTTCCCATTGAACAGATCGAGAAAAAATTGGCAATTCAAAGGCAGTTAAATGTCAAGTGAGTCACTAATTTATTTAAAGGAATGATTTTGACTCATAATTAGATTATTTGATTTTCGGTGCAAATCAATATGATAAAATAAAATACTTACTTCTTTTTTTATGGGCAAAATCTTATAAACTAATACTTGATAATGCTATCAATATTTTTTTTTGAGTTCATGTGTTTCTATTGTTTTTTAAATTTTCTGTCATCTCTTTATTAATAATATAAAATTAATAATGACAAGAAGTGCTCTATGTGAAGTGTCCATAAAGTAAAAAAGCACTATTCAACCTCATAATATATGTTTCAAACATTTTGTTGCATTCTGGAGATTTTTTTTAAATTCTGTCTAGTAAAGAACTGCTTTCTCTCATTTTCAGCAGTACTTCTGTAATTATTTTTGATAGATTTTTTCGATTTTTTTTCTATCCTTTCAAAAACATATTTCTAACGTTGTTTCTTATTAATTTCTCTCTAAAGTAGAGTTTCAACTTACTTAGTCAAGGTAAATTGAACACAAATTGTTTATAATTATTATGCCTATTGTAAGATAATATTTTTCTTCTATTTAACAATTTACCTATACGAAAGTAATATTGAAAAATAATTCAAGAATAAAATGAAGTGGATGACACAGCGTTTCCAAATTTTGTCCGTGACTTATCTAATTCTAAGGAGCAGTAATATTACATCTTAACCAAGAAACAGACTATGTATTCAGTAATATTAAAACTCAAGATATCAATAACTTCTTTTATTATTTTTTAGGGCAGCCAAAGAAATTGAGGACAGGCGTTCCCAATATGAACCCTCTTTGGGCGCCGCCGTAGATGATCACGATGATTCCTTCCAATTGGAGGAACATGACTTTGTTCCTCACTTTCAAAGAGTGTCCATAAGTGGAGAAGACACCAGTGGGGTAAGTTGATGATAATTCATATTTATGAAGTAATCCACAAAAATCCAAATTAAACGAATCCACAAAAATAATAATTGATCTTCATGAATGAGTTCCCATACCCACATTCTTTTGCTGGAAAAATGGACGTATGTGTGTGCATGTGAAGTATGTACGTTCTGATATATTGTTTTTAAATTTGATTTGGTTTATTTATAGGTTCCTTTAGAAGATTTGCAACAAGCATCGAATCTTCTGATTCGTGCTCTTCACATACGAGAATGTTACATGGCCAACTCGAGGCAGAGTTTTCCTTCAATGACATCCCGTTTTCTAAGATCAGTTTCTACCGGAACTCCAAAACACAAGGCGGATATTAAACATGGAGATCGGAAGACTATTGAAGGTATAAATTATAAAAATTATTTTTGATTGAAATTCATATTTTGGTTTCTGAATTTTTCCAATAATCGATAACCAACTTCCTAGTTGACCATCCTAGTTTACATTCCTTAATTTTCAATTTCCTATATCAATTCACAACTATTTTTTAATATTATCGATACTGATGAAAATTAATAGCTATTAATATTTTTTTATAAAAATAATGAAATTTTTAATCCTGAGCTAGTATAACAATCATATATTTACATCCATCCATACTCATATGGAGCATCTATATGAATTTGTACATGTACAATTTTATTAACTGTTTTTGTATATGCTTCTGATATTTATAAAAATTCATTCAGGCTTTCATAGTAGAACTTAAGTATATAATAGTTATTAAATAAAAAATATAAATTCCTTATTCCTTCCTGTCCTTTATCCCAGAGTCTGCTTCTAGAACAACGAATAATATTACTGATTCCTACATCATTCATGAAGCAGAAAGTATTGCAGAAATTGAAGATATGTTGAAAGGTATATGTTATATACTTAATATAAGTTCAAATCTTCTTAACATTTCAGCGCGAAATAAAATGCTAAATAATTTGGTAATGTGTCTTTACCCTGTGTCCAATTTTGAAAAAGTTTCAAGAAAATTTTGCTAATTGATATTGTTTGGCTGTGAACCAAATAATATTTATAAATATTCATAGCTCATATAGTAGATATAAATCATACCTCGTAAAAGTTCAATTAGTTTTCAAAATAAAGTAATTTTTTTAGGAAGTATCAATTGCAAATACCAGGTATATCTTAACTTTTACACAATGAATAAATCAATCATTGAATTCAAATTCATATATTCCAACGTTCTTTCAACTATTTTTATGTCCCAACTATTTCAATTTTATTTTATATTTTATAAAAAAGTTACCTTTACATAGATCACCCCGTTCACCCTCCTGCCAGCAGAGGCGATCCATGGGAGTGTGAGTTTCCTCCTGCAAAAAATTACGTTTTTAAACCAGATCATGGTGTGTTCACGGTTTATGCTAACCAGGAAGATGCTGATAATAATGTGCCTCTACCATACACGTACCCAAAACTTGATGTTTTTATAGCTGATATGATCATGATGTGTGCGATGATTGCTGATGGACCATTGTGAGTTAATAACATTTCTGTAAAAATATATTGTACATATTGAAGTTATATGAAATTAACAAAACTGAATTAGATGTTGTAGAAATTATCTTAAAATAATTAAAAGAAAGAGAATATTCTAAGTAGTAACAAACTCAATATTTAAATATTAAAGGCTATTAGTTTTGGATCGCGCTATAATGTAGACCATCATATATATTTACTCACTATATAGCCAAATTATTTATTCATTTTATTTTTATATTTTCAGAAAATCATTTTGTTATCGACGCCTGAGTTATCTTTCATCGAAATTTCAGCTTCATGTGTTATTGAATGAATTGAGAGAGTTGGCTTCACAAAAGGCTGTGCCTCATCGGGATTTTTATAATATAAGGTAATAAAGTCAACTTATAAATTATATCAATAATAACAATAATAACTAGTGGGGTACATGGCATCGTGCCTTAAGGCAAATTGCTGGAACTTTCCGTACCGTAATTAAAAATTTTGGTACGAAACCCAAAAAAATTTACACAAAATGTATACATATTATTAAAATCTCTATAGAATATCTGATAATTTGATGTGCATATATCCAATAAATATTTTTGACCGCAAAATGACATTTTTTTAAATTATTTTTATTGAGAGTCCATAACCGCTGGACCTGCCTTTCCAAAAATGAAAATTGAAGAGTTCTTCATCTTGTCAATACAAGTAAAATGTTTTTTAAATTATTAATATCGGACGCTCGGTTCTCTTAAAAAACTTAGTTACCGTTTTTGGCACTTTTTGCTCCTCATTTTCGGAACGGTTAGACCTGCCTTCGCTAAAAACTAAACAGCACGTTTCCTTATCAATACAAATCGAATGGTTTTTGAATTATTCAAATCGGTTGATCGGTGTTCCCGAAATCGTCGACGAAAATTTGTATCCACACACACACATACATCCATTTTTTCTAAGGTATGAATATTTTATCAAAAAATATTCAGAAATCTTTGAAACGTAAAGATATATACAAATTTTCATTTTTGATCTTTTTGCGATTACTATAACTTATCCTACGGGAAGTTAATATTAAAAATAGTGTTAAAACTTTTTTTCGCTTTTAATTGTTTTATATACCTTATAATAGTTTTTTAAATATTTTTTTGTTTCTAACTCGTATTCTATTTGGTGTATTTATTATTATAAGGAGCCGATTTCATTGAAAGGACCTTGGCAAATAATGTTAATTGTTTATTTGGAAAGAGAGTTCAAAATAACAGAAAAAATAAACCCCCATTTTTATCTTTCTATTCTATCTTAGTAATTGAGCTTTATCTCTAATTTTTTTCTATTTTCAGGAAAGTAGACACTCACATTCATGCCGCATCTTGTATGAACCAAAAGCATCTACTGAGGTTTATCAAAAAGACCCTGAAACAAAATGCTGATGAGGTCGTGACCCACACGAACGGAAAACCGATGACCCTCAAAGAGGTTTTCCAATCTATGAACTTGACTACCTATGACCTTACTGTAGATATGCTTGATGTTCATGCGGTAAGAAAATTGATAATTAATTAATTGATTAATAATAGCATCGATTTTTTACGAATAGTACATTTCGAAATACAGAATCTTCAGAAAAGGATCTTCTCCTACTACTCCAATTTCTATGTATAATATCTTACAAAATAGATAGATATAAAAAACGTTTAAAGATATAAAAAACATTTTTTCAAATTTGTATGTTATAATTCTAATACCTTTTTCTAATTATTTTTAATCTATAATTTTTTAGGACCGAAACACTTTTCATAGGTTCGACAAATTTAATGCAAAATATAATCCTATTGGTGAAAGCAGATTGAGAGAAGTTTTCTTAAAAACCGATAACTACTTGAACGGAAAATATTTTGCAAGAATTATCAATGTAAGTAATTTTTCTACAAAATTTCATCTTTATCAAAATTTTATCTGATTTAATTTCATATAAAATAAATGTGAGTTATTTATTTATTTTTTATTTATTTCATTATTATAGGAAGTTAGTTCGGATTTAGAAGAAAGCAAATATCAAAATTGCGAATTGAGACTTTCAATTTATGGTAAAAGTCCTGAAGAGTGGGATAAACTTGCAAAATGGGCAATAGAATCTAATGTTTATAGTGATAATGTGCGCTGGCTTATTCAAATACCACGATTATAGTAAGAGTAGATATATTATTAGTTATTATATTAATTACCACCCATAAATTATTTATACTTTGAGTATAATATTATTGTTTTTTATTACAGCGATATTTTCAAATTAAATAAGCTGATGAACAATTTCCAAGAAATTCTTACAAATATCTATTTGCCATTATTTGAAGTTACGAATGATCCACAATCGCATCCTGAACTACACAAGTTTCTTCAGGTATGATCAGAAATCTGATTAATATTTAATATTATTAATTATAAGTTGGATAAATTCAAGTAGTATTTATAATTTTCTTCTATAGTTCGTGATAGGTTTTGACTCGGTGGATGATGAAAGTAAACCCGAAAATCCATTATTCGATAAGGATGTTCCGACACCAGAAGAATGGACAGACACTGAAAATCCGCCCTATGCATATTATCAATATTATATGTACGCTAATATGACCGTATTGAACCATTTTAGACAGTAAGTTATCAATTTAAAAATGTAAAATTACATTTTTTTATTTATATTTATATTTTTTTATAATTTTAGCGAGCAGGGGTTGAACACATTTGTGTTGAGGCCGCATTGCGGAGAAGCTGGTCCAATTCAACACTTAGTTTGCGGCTTCATGATGGCCGAAAACATTTCGCACGGACTTTTATTAAGAAAAGTAATTATTTAAATAATTATTGTCTTAGCCTTAAAATGAATTTTAGAAAAAATACTGCTTATTTTTAGGTGCCTGTACTTCAATATTTATATTATTTAGCGCAAATTGGCATTGCTATGTCTCCTTTAAGTAACAACTCGCTATTTTTAAATTATCATAGAAATCCTCTTCCTGAATATTTAGCTAGGGGCTTGTGTGTAAGTTTGAGTACGGATGACCCATTACAATTTCATTTTACCAAGGTAAATAAGATTTTTTTAATCTAAATTTGTTGAATTTATCATCACGAATGAACGGGCGTAAATAAATTTTATTTTCAGGAGCCTTTAATGGAAGAATATAGTATTGCAGCTCAAGTTTGGAAACTTAGCTCTTGTGATATGTGTGAGCTTGCTAGAAATAGTGTTATTATGAGTGGATTTCCACACAAGGTACAAAAACCATACTCTTATACCTAATGCACATATATTAAGGAAAATTTTTACTTTTAAAAAAATTGTGCACCTTATCATGAGTCTTTTACTCTTTTAGATGAAACAATATTGGTTAGGACCAAACTACACTCAGGAAGGAGTGGCCGGTAATGATATAACAAGGACCAATGTACCCGATATACGTGTTGCCTTTCGATATGAAACTTTACTCGATGAATTGTCAAATATTTTCAAAGTCGAACAGCCAAGGGATTCTGCAACGACTCATACACAATGACATAAAGCCAACTGGAAAGATGATAAGAATAGTTTGTCGCGGGCTAAGACCAGGGGTAAATTAATATATTTTTATAATACATATTTATATATACTCTTCTGTTTCTAAATTGGTTTTGTGGAATCAAACAAAAACTAATTACACTAAGTTATATATTAACCTTTGCCAATATAACCGGTCTCACCGGAATAAGAGGTATAAGAATTCAATTTTAAATCATACTGAAAGTTTCAGTGAAATATGTTAAATTGTTTTCCATATAAATTTAGATTCCTTCTTCCGAATTAAATAACTTCCTTGAAAATATATTTTTAGAATTCCATCTCTTCTATTTACAAATTGGATTTGTGGAACATTTATACAGATTTACATTATTAATCCTTTCGAAATTTAAAAATACATTCATAAATAATTTTTAATTTTTATTGCATGAAATATGAATTGTTTAATTGTTATCATTTATAAATCATAATTATTTTTTCAGAATTGAATAAAATGCGACGATTTGATGTTGCGGGACCTCACATGCAGTAAATTACAATTACATATAAGTTGTTTTATTGTAAAGTTTTGAAATATTTTATTATTTAATTGCACTCTTGATGATTTATATATATATATATATATATATATATATATATATATAATTTATAAAAGTAGGTTCTCACATGTCATGAATAATTATATGATTTAATGTAATTATAATATATAGTTTCGAATTTATATTGTTCAAATAGATGTTAGATTTTATAATGTGGTTATTAATATATTTTCATCTGTAATATGGATAAAAAATAAATTGTATTATAGATACAAGATGATTTAGTTTTAATATATTTATAAAAAAATCTAATTAGAGATTAATTATATGCAAGAAACAAAAATGCAGTCTTTTTATGAGTAATGGGTAAAAATGCTAAAAATTTTTGAACTGTTGCTTTTGGTATAACTTAAAACCGTGTTTCTGAATTTTTAAATTCCCCGCTTTTTATTTAGTACACAAAAGTTGTTTTATGCCTAAGACCACGTGCTTATTTATCTATGACCACGTGCGATATTTATTACAGTAATCGAGTCGGACGTTTGTGCAAAAACATGTGTGTATTGTGTAATTAATAATATATTTATTGATTAAATAATAATTAATTAATTAAATAAATTAATATAAACCATTAAAGATTAACTAAAACATAAATCAACCATCAATCAAACATCTCCAAGTATTAAATATCCTGAATAAATGCCTTTTATTACATATGCAAAATATTATGTTTTTCAATATTCAAATTTTTTAAAGTATCCTTATAATTGATGATTTAAATATATAAACATATATGTATCAAAGGTACATCAAATCTAATAATAAAACGATTTATACATTTTTTGTGATAGTTTTACTACGAAATTTACTCATTTAACAAAATTACATTATTAATCAAATTGTGGCAAATGATAAAAAAGAGTTTTTGCTGAAACAAGTAAGCATAAAAACTCTCAAAATAGAAGTGCAGTTACAAAGTGTAAATTTAAATTTTAGATATGTATAATTATTTGTGATCGACAGTATGTTTTATATGATTTGTAATGTTCAATTTATTAGGTAAGTAATATGTTTTCAATTGAAAATAGCACCTTTCGTGCACTAATAAATCTAATCTAACGAGCTTAATATCCTAGGATTCTTAAAGAGTTTCAGACTTCTAAACTTTGTATAACGATAGATTTCGATGTATGAAATAACATATTAAAATATTTCAGGCCTATGAAAAACGGTTGAAATAGAAAAAATCATCAAATTAAAATGCAACTAGTTTTAATGTGATTTTAACAATTACTAAAACTTGCAGGAAAACCTACTTTAAAGCCTAACTCATAAGACTCAAAGTGTTTAATTTAACTATGTGCTCAAATCAAGTTTGTTAATTCTATTCAATTTATTCAGAAAATCTTTATTTTTATCAATGATCAGTGTAGAAGGTGTAGTCAAAAAAAAATATTGATATAATTTCCAAATTTAACTAATTTAATTATTTTTTATGTTACTTAGTTATACAAACTTATACAAAAGACATGATTATGCTCTTCACAAAATATATATTTAAAAAAATAAATACAATATATTGAAACTATGCAAGATTAAATTTAAGACAAAACAATACTCTTTAGATTTTTTTGAATCTATATACAATTTTATATTCTTAAAATATATATCAACTTATAAATTATAAGCTGACAAGAAGCGTTCAAAAGACTTTTGCTTCCAAAATGGAATATCCTTCAATTCTTGTAAACATCGAAATTTTCCAATTCTTTCCCTACAAAAAATCAAACCCAAAATAAATAATTTTTTTTAAATCAAATAATAATAAATATTTTTAAAAAATGACAAATTTATTTACCTGTGTTCAACAATAAGTTGGGCAGTGACTGGTCCTACGGTTTCTAAGACTTGCATATCCTTGGCAGATGATGTATTTAAAGTATGTAATAACAATTTAGTGACTGGTTGAGAATTTTTTGATAAACTGTGCCTCAATTTTTTAAGATGTTCTTTTGATTTTGATTTGTACACATTGTTTCTATTAGGGACTCCATATGCATCAAGTATTACAGGATTGCCCATTTTATCTGAAAACAATTCATGATCAATACACATTCTATGACAAATTGAAGATATGCTTACCCATAGTTAAGTTAATAGTTAAATGTGCATTGTTCGATGGCACAGGGTGATGAGGCACACCTAAAAGTAAAGGAATATGCTAATAAGAATAAATGATTTATTAAAAATTAATGATTTATTTTAAACACAATATTTGACAATGGTATGGGCTCATTACTAACCGATTGTCTTGTTTCCTTGCACACCGGCCACAGAAATCAGTCTGGTTTGGTTCATCTTATTATTTAATACCGTCATATTTTTTTTGTGTTGTATTCGGATAGACCTACGAACTTTTTTATTTGATTTAACAGGATTTTCTAATATAGTACTTTGAAGTAATGTGTTGTCCAAAGAACAGCTTTCAAGATCAGTTACATTTTCCATTGCTGTTAAAGTGATATCGGTTTTATCTTTTTTAACGTTTTCTTTATTTTGTTTTTCAAGACCTTCTAATCGAGACATAATTGCGTGCATATTTTCACGCAAAATTTCAATCTCAGGACTGTAAATTATAAAATGCTGTTGAAAATCTTTAAAACCACATACATATTGGATTTAAAAAAGGAGCAATAAGCAACAAAGAATCTATTACATATTGAACAAATAAGAAAGAATTTATAAATACAAATTTATTTAATATAAAATCTATCAAAATATAATAGATTTCGTGCAAAAAGTGAGTACACAACTTTACATTCTTTCTTTCCATCAAAATTTACAAGAAATAACTTGTACAGTAAAAAAATGTTTTCAATTAAATGGTTTTTACCTGTACGTTTTTGAGTTACCAAAGGCGCTAGCATGTGAAGAAGTAGATATTCTAGACATATCAGTAATAAATCCTGAATAATCTAAAGGAATTGGTGTTTGTTTTGGGGTGACCATTTCCATTCTGGCAGCAGGTGTGCTACTGATTTGTTTAATTCTCCTATACCAAAAATCATACCAATTTTCGAAATTAAGACAATATATATATATATATATATATATATATATATATATATATATATATGAAGTTGAACATTAGTATTAGATAATTTGGAGAGAATAAATATGAACAATAACATTATAGTATCACTAGCTATGAAAAATTTAGTTTTTGAAATATAAATTTGATTTTGATTTTATGAGATCGGAACAAATATATTCATAATATGAGTATTTTCATAAATGAGTAAAATACTAAATATGATATAATACTAACGTTGGTGTGCAATCAGTTGTACTATTGAATTTCGCTGTTTTCTGATATATTTTTTGTGGGGTACTGAATGTATTATTTTTTTGGATAGGTGTAAATGGTTTTCTTGTAGGCATTGGTGATTCTGTGCAAGATTTGGAAACCGCTGTTGTTTTTCCAATCGTTCTGGCTTGATTTAATGTGGGTGTATGCTTGCCAAAAGGAGGCCTTTTGAATTTTGGTGTTTTTGGTACAAGAAACATTGTATCGTCCTTAGTATGATCACCATCGCATTTGTTTTCCTTCTAAAATAAAAAAAAAACATTCAGCAAAAAATTATAATATAAAGTAGTTAGAAAAAGAATAATGCCAACCTTATACTCATTATATTGGAGCTGTAAGAGGGGTTTACTACGAACACTTTTGGCTCCAGAAACAAATTCTAAAGTTGTTATAGTTCGTTTTATATGCTCCATAGACGGACTTATACAGCCAATGAGTGTTACATAATTGTTACTATTTAAAGCATCTTAAAAAAAATCATTATAATGATAATCCTGTTTCACTTTAATATGCATAAAAATACAGTTATCTACCTTGTAACAAAGTTGTTAATACAGACTCTCTATAACTAACTGTATTTTCACTTTTGGCAAGATTACGAAGTAACAAGTGTAAACCCAATAAACTTTGATTGATCTTGATTCCTTCTGTGAATGCAGCTCCTTCGTGTCCTGTTTCTCTAACACCCTCGGTTCCTGCCAAATCAACTAAGTGCAAACAGGCATTTGTTTCATGATTACTATAAATAGAAAAATCAAAATAAAGTATTAAAATGTACTAATATACTATCAGAAAGATTAAATTAATATTTTACCCATTTTTGATATTACAGTTGACGGTAAATAAGGCATGCGATCTAGAACTCTGTTGATTTAATTTGGTACTTCTTGTATGACGTGCTAAAATACCTTTCCTGAAATATTGCACAGCTTCATTGGGACTTCTCACGAGATGGGATGACGCAGAACACATTCTAGCAACTTATTATGAACAGCAATTATTGCATTTTATTATACATACATATATATATATATATATATATATATATATATATATATATATATATATATATATACCTTTCAGTGGTCTTTCAGCATCTCCTAGCAAATCATATGCCTTATCATTATATATTTCAATTCCAGAAATTGAAATCGAAAAATATACAGAATTTTGAGCAGCTCTAAGAAAGATGTCATTGAGCGATCTTTGTAATAAGCCAGCATTTACACCATCTTCAGCCTATAATTATACTATATAAGTACAATAAAATAAATAAGACCATTGTGAGATTGTTTGAAAATTCTGTTTACATTAATCCCACTGCCCATAGTGTGTGTTTTACCAGTTCCTGTGTGGCCATAAGCCATTATCGTACAATGATATCCTTCCAATAACTTTGTGACCATAGGATATATGAGCGATGCATAAAAGTTTTCTTGAGATTCCTCATTGTATATATGATCAAACACAAATGGTTTATCATCAGCAACAAGCATCTAAAATATTATGAATATTAAAATAATAGCATAGGCTTGTCGTAAGCTAAAACGCTTATTTGAACAAATTCTAACATTAAACTTTCCCAAAAGTTTCTCACAATTTAATTGTAACAAATTAATCCAACTCAA